TATTTTATAATTTTAAAATTTAAAATATATTTACTTTATTTTTATCTTAAACTTATAATCTTTAAACTTAAAATATAATCTTAAAGCCTAAATTTTATTTATACATATTATAAACTTTTTTTAATTAGCAATTAAAATAAATAAAATATTTAATAAAATAATTTTAAAATTTAAAATATATTTTAAATATATTATAAAAGTTTTATTTTTTAATTAGTAATTAAAATAAATAAATATTTAATAAAATATTTATAATTTTTAACTTTTAAATATATTTATCTTATTTATTTTAAATTATAATTTTTAAACTTAAACCATAATCTAAGAGCTTAAAAATTTAATTTATATATTATAAAATTTTTATTTTTTTACTTTTAAATATATTTATCTTATTTATTTTAAATTATAATTTTTAAATATAAACCATAATCTAAGAGCTTAAAAATTTAATTATATATATTATAAAATTTTTATTTTTAATTAGTAATTAAAATAAAGATTTAATAAAATATTTATAATTTTTAAATTTTAAAATATATTTACCTTATTTATTTTAAAAACATAATTTTTTAAACTTAAAATCTAATCTTTGAGCTTAAATCTTATTTAAATATATTATAAGATAGAGAAGATATGCACTTATAGAGGGTATATTTAGAAATATCTGGCTATAATTTTTAAAATTTAAATATATTTATCTTATTTATCTTAAATTATTATTTTAAACTTAAAACATTATCTAAAAGTTTAAAATTTAATTATATTGTAAAAGTTTTATTTTTTAATTAGTAATTAAAATAAATAAATTTTTAATAAAATATTTATAATTTTTAAAATATAAAATATATTTATCTTATTTATCTTTAAAACATAATTTTAAACTTAAAACTTAAAGCTTAAATTTTATTTATATATAATATAAAATTTTTATTTTTTAATTAGTAATTAAAATAAATAAATATTTAATAAAATATTTATAACTTTTAAAATTTAAAACATATTTACCCTTATTTATCTTAAAAGTATAATTTTTAGCCTTAAAATCTAATCTTAGAGTTTAAATTTTATTTATACATATTATAAAATTTTTAGTTATAAATTTTTTTCTAAATTGTATAAAATTGTTTTTTTTATTATTATTAATTTTTAACATAGAATTTTCCTTTACAAATTATAAAAGTGTTTCTTTGCTATCAATAGCATTTTAAACTATAACTAGTTCTTTTTTATTTACTTTATCTTGAATTATATTAACAATTTTCTCATTTGTTAGATCTACATTTCTAGACATATTATTAATATTAATATACTCATCTGCATTTAGTATATTATTATAAGGTAATTTATTTATTAAATCTTGGATTTTTTCTTCAGTTTTTTGTAAATTAATTATTATATCATCAGTAATAGTACTATTTAATGATAGTGTAGATGGTACTAATATATTCTCAAACATTGAATATAACAAAATTTCAGTTTTCTTCTAACAATTAACAATTGTTTTATAAGAAACATTGTTTCAAGCTTTTACTAACCAATTAATTGTCATTTGATATCAATTTTTTAGATAGTTCTTTAGTAATATATATTGTATTAAACTCAATTAGTTCTTTTTTATTTTTTTATCTTGAATTATATTGACAATTTTCTTATTTGTTAGATCTATATTTCCAGACATATTATTAATGTTAATATACTCATCTGCATTTAGTATATTATCATAAGGTAATTTATTCATTAAATTTTGGATTTTTTCTTTAGTTTTTTGTAAATTAATTATTATATTATCAGTTATATTTTCAAATATTGAAGGTAACAAAATTTTAATCTTTTTCTAACAATTAACAAGAACATTGTTCCAAGCTTTTACTAATCAATCAATTGTTATTTTATATCAATTTTTTTAGGTGGTTCTTTAGTAATATATGTTGTATTAAACTCAACTAGTTCTTTTTTATTTACTTTATCTTGAATTATATTGACAATTTTCTTATTTGTTAGATCTATATTTTCAGATATATTATTAATGTTAATATACTCATCTGCATTTAGTATATTATTATAAGGTAATTTATTTATTAAATCTTGGATTTCTTCTTTAGTTTTTTGTGAATTAATTATTATATTATCAGTCATAGTACTATTTGATAATAGTGTAGATGGTACTAATATATTCTCAAACATTGAAGGTAACAAAATTTTAGTCTTCTTCCAACAATTAACAATTGTTTTACAAGAAACATTGTTCCAAGCTTTTACTAACCGATCAATTGACATTTTGATATTAATTTTTTTAGGTGGTTTTTTAGTAATATATGTTATATTAAACTCATTTAGTCAAAACTGTAAAAGGCATCTATGATATTGTGTTTATAAATAAATTATAAAAATAATTAAATTTAATTAAATAAAAAATTAAGAGACTTGTTATTGCTACCTGTTTTAAAATTAATTATTGATTTTTTTATAATTAATATTAAGTGTAAATTTAAATAAATCTAATATAAATTTGAAGTAAATTTTAGATTAACTTACAATAAAATAAGCTATTTGATTTACAATAGGTTCAAATAAGCCAAATTAAGCTTATTCAAACCAATAGTGAGTTCAAAAAATCTTTATTTAAACCTATAATAGATTTAAATAAACCAAAAATAGGCTTATCAAATCTATAATAAATTTAAATAATTTATTTAAACTCATAATAGGTTTAAATAAACCTAGAATAGGTTTATTTATTCTCACAGTTGAATAAATCTAGAATATATCATTGAACCCATATATAATTCAAATAAATCTTGAATAGATTATTTGAACTCAAAGTAATTGCCCATAAAGTAAATAGCACTAGAATATCATATATCTTTAAAGCAATACATTGATTTGCTTAACAATATTGGTATAATACAGTTTACAAAAGATATAAAATAAATTTTTATAATTATGTCAAAGTTACTAAATATTATTAATATATTTATTCAGCAATGTTATTATATTGAAAAGGTTATAGCCAGTGTGTAAAATTAAATTTAGATTTTATATTCTTACTGAGAACATTTTTCTAGTTCTCAATATTCTCAAAACTTTTTAATGTTCTCAATATAAAAAATTAAATTTCTATAATATTATGTATATAGATCATATTTTAATAGTTTATGTTCTTAAATTTTATTAGTATTTTTAGAGAATATTGAGAATATTTAATTTTGCACACTTAGCTATGACAAGATTTCCCAAAGGTTGGTTTCTTGCCAGCTTATTTTCTTGACACCATATTTCAATAGTATATCTCATTTACTATATATTTTTTCAAATAATATCTCTCTAATATAATATGTCTTTGATGCCCTATTTTCTTGACAAGATATATTTTCAAAAAGATATTACCTAATTTGATGTATCTTCAAAACTATATTTTCCTGATATGATATTTCTTTTTCTGATATGCAAATAATCGACATGTTTACAAATGGAATTAAGAGTAAACAAACCATTATAGGTTGGTTGCTGTAACAATTACCAACTATAAATGCTCCATTAGCATTAATAACTATAATAAGAGACTATGATATCATAGGCTGATCATAGTTGTCAATAAAATGAGTTGTTAGGAAAACCATTCAATAAAATTTAGTGTTGGAGAAAAGTTAATTGGAAATATGTCATGTCAGAGAAAAGTCTTTTCAAAAATATGATATGTTGGAGAGGTTGTTGCTCAATTCCCAAAAGCTAGCTACCCACTATCTCATTTTCCAAACTATACTGTTGAATACTTTAGAGGTCTGATCCGGTTAAAAAATAAGTATTTGAATATTCATTTGTTAAATCTTTTTAATATCCAAATATTCATTAGCAAATTTCAAATGAATATTTGAATATTCACTGAATATCCATTGAATATTAATGGATATGAACTAGAATTGTTGGTTTAGAACAATAATAAGTTAAGACAATATTATGAAGTTGAATAATTGAGAGTTTAAATTCACAAGCTAACAAATGAGTTTTATATGTACTTAAAAGCTATGTATATATATTAAAATAAATAAAATCAATAGAGAAAACTTCTAGTCAATAAGAATTTATCCTCATTATATATTATCAGTATTGCTAACCAATCAGTATACATATGTGTAAGATTGAGCATGGTATATGACACCAGTTTTGGTCAATTAGATAGTAAATATTTATTAAATATTAAATGAATTATTTGGTAAAAAATTTTTATATTTGAACATTCAATTCAGTAAAACAATTATATATTCAGATATTCAAATATACTATTTATCAGATCAGATCTCTAAAATATTTTATTACAGCAATTTTTGTTGACAGAATGTTTCACCAACATAACATGTTTTTGATAGCTTCTTTCTCTGATAAACCATATTTTAGAAAAGTTATTTCTGACAGGGCATATTTCTAATTTGACTTTCTCCACACAAAATTTTATCAAATGTCTTTTCCTAACAACCTATTTTACTAATAGTTTGTTTATCCTTAATTCAATTTGATAACATGTTGATTATTTGTATTTTGGAGAAAAATATCAAAAATATGTCATGTCAAGAAGATATGGGTTTGAAAATCTATCAAATTAGGTAATGTTTTCAAAAATATGTCTTGTCAAAAAAAGAGATGTCAAAAGACATATCATGTTAGAAAGATGCTTGTTGAAAAAAATATGCTATAGATAAATCTACTATTGGGGATATTGTGCCAAAAAATGAGCTGGCAGAAAACTAATTTTCAGGGAATTATGCTATCCAGTAGTAAATTAATTGTTTTTGAAATATATTATTGATAAAATATACTGTCAGTAAATGAACTTGTACTGACCTTAACTCTCAGTATTCTTCTGAGGAGCACACTCCTGTTTTAAGTTTACTGGCTACCTATATCGGAACCTGGGACTTATAGGTTTGCTTAAATTTGCTAAAATTTACAAATTATACCCTGAATTATCTAATATGCCAAATATGCTATCACATATGCGATAAAATCCATGTTTATGTACATACATCATATTGGCGGATTTTTGGAATTTACTATTAAAAATTCAGAAAAGATTTAACAGTGAATAACTTTTGATCCACTGATTTGTTTTCGACAAAACAATTACCAAAAGTTTCATCTTGGTAAGACAATTCTAATGGATACAAAATCGCCAAAATCTAACCACAAGATCCTGATATCTTTGATGATTTGTTTCACTTCAGGTGTTTTAGGATTGGTTTAACCAATACTAAAACACCCAAAGTGACGCAAATCTCTACTGATCTCGGGGTTCTGTGATTGGATTTTGACGATTTTGTGT